AGAGGGGATCTAATCAGTGTCTATAAGTACCTCAAGGGAGGCAGTGAGGAGGATGGTGCTGGTCTCTTTTCTGTGGTGGTCACTGACAGAACTAGAGGAAATGGCTGGAAACTGAAGCATCAAAAGTTCCACAGGAACTTAAGGAAAAAATTCTTAACGGAGCACTGGAACAGGCTGCCCAGAGAGGTTGTGGAGTCTCCTTCTCTGGAGATCTTCAAAACCTGCTTGGACGCAGTCCTGTGCCACGTGCTCTAGGTGGCCCTGTGTGTGCAGGGGGGTTGGACTGGATGATCTCTAGAGGTCCCTTCCAAACTTAAAGGTTCTGTGATTCTATGATACAGGCAAAATGATGACAAGGCTATTGTGTGTGCATGTGCTGGGGGAGGCACTTTCCATCCTTCCTTTGAAACTGGGAATTATGCAATAAGTGTTGCAATATATATATAGCCTACTTAGATGCATTTGGGTGACAGAAAGTAAGTGTGTGTGTGTGTTTTTGTTTGTTTTTTTAAGCTGATTGTGTTCATGGATGAAATACTGCTCCCCGTTTTAAACACATGGTTCCGTATGATCCAATTATCTGCCCTTTTTTTCCACTTCTGATGTGTTTTCCAATAAAATAGGAAGACAAGATTACATGTCAACATTTCTGACTACTACCAATATAGCATTTAAAACGCTTTTTTACCTCACTGATTTCAAAAGCTTTTACAAGCAATAATTGTTTGGTTAAAATGCCATTGAAGTAAGTGTCAGATGTGTAATCTTTTAATGTAGAAGTAGAACTGTTATCAGAAAGCTGTGTATTCTTTTGGTCAAAAACTGGGAAGAGAAGCTGTAAGTTCTTATAGTCCTATGCTCAGCCCAACAGGCAGATGTTCCAAGATGGTCACTGGAGAAAGAGGGCCATTGTGTAGGCTATGATTGGAGCTAGACTTTATAGTGTGAATAACTGAACCTTCTGAAGGACAGGCTCATCTTTGGCATTTTCCTTGGCAATTTCCCCAAAGCTCTTGCACCACTTATTAATTTGCAGACCAGATGATCTTGATTTCCATGACTTTATTGGCATCTTTTCCTCCACTTCCATAATGAAGGCAGGAGAACCGGCTGTACAATTCCATTAAGTTAAAATATCACAATCTACTGGAGTCATTAGCAGCTGATTGATCAAATTAAGCAGCCTTTCCTACGGGGCTGAGATAAACCAGTTTCGCACACTGGTTTGCCGCTTTCATATAGTTGTGAAAGACTGTCTCATCTCTCCTGACATCCTCCTTATGATGAGACATTAAAGGGCCCTTTCAGAACTTCATCAGTTGTCTCATAGCATTGCAGGAGGGGTAAGTGACTCAGCAGCAAATCTGTCCTGGGAAAGTGAACTTCTCTGAACTCTAAGGTTCTGTGCCCCTGAGAAGTCCTTGCCCTTGGTACATAAGATTATATAATTGTATTTTTTTTTCATAATTCATGATTGACAGAAAGGACTATGTGAAACTGCTTCACTGAAGATCATCTATGCCCAATGTCATCTATGTCTGTACTGTTAAATAGAAGGGTGCCAGGAACGGCCTCCTCACCTGGGGCCAAGTGGTAAATACCAGCTGGGGTTCACATTGTTGAGGCCTAGTCCTCGCTGTAGTAGATTTCTCGTAGGTAATACAAACAGAAGCAGTCCAGTCCAGAGCCAGGGAACTACCTAGCCATTACCAATGAGGGGCCCAGTACTCGGGACTGATCTGTGCCTCTCTTTTATTTATCAGTAGATGAACACTAGAAACAGCCAGTGCAGCTAAAGAAAAGCTTTTTGAAAAAAGCATTTTTGTGTTTGAAAGCCATGGACTACGTTGTTAAGAATAGAAAGATCACAGCTTCCTTACCTTTATAAATATTTTTTCAGTAGAATATACTAACATTTAAAGCTATATGTATATATGTATACACACACACACACACACACACACACACACACACACATAGTATGCTTGGATTTAAATTTATTAATATCTCTTTTTACATTATTTTTTCTTTCTCCCTAGGTGCCATGACTGTGGGGCTGTCCTTGAAGAATATGATGAAGAAACACTAGGCCTGGCCATAGTTGTGCTTTCAACATTCATTCACCTTAGTCCAGACTTAGCTGCACCTCTACTGTTAGACATCATGCAATCTGTTGGAAGGTAACTTCAGGACTTTCCTCTGTCCCATCTTACTGAAAGAGTTTTGTGGCCAAAACTGTTTTTTTATAAGCTTCATTATTTGCTGGATGCTTAAATGTTTTGCCTATATAAGGGAAAGGAAACCTTTGCTAATACAATTCTATTGCTTTTGGAAACTGAATTCAGCTTCAGTATATTTGCATGCATTGTAGCCTCACCTCCAGTACCGTCTCTGAGATACTCTGATGATTACCAGACTGCTCACCAAGAAGTCCTAATTTAAAGTTGAGAGGTTTTGATATGAATGAAAAGCTCATTTTAGAACATCTGATGTTCTAAAAGTAAGTAAGACTTACTATTGCAGCATGTCAGTATCTGTTTTTCTTGATCACTATGGTACAGTCAAACAACAGCTCCAAGCAAAGCAGCAGATTAGCCTATAAACAGAGTCTTGTATTGCATTGTTTCCCACTTCATTGCTCACCATTGTTTCCAGGACATCTATTAATAACTTGAATGGCATAGGTCCTAGCACAGATGTGTGCAGAAATCCCTTGTTTACATCTCTCCACTATGAAAATTCACCCCTTCTTCTCTCTTTCTTTTTCTTTCTTTTTTTTTTTTCCTCCTTGTGTTTTCATAGTTATTTTTCTGTACAAAGAAATTTCTCCTTCTGCCACGGCTCCTTGATTTCCTTAAGAGTTTTTGGTGAAGGACTTTGAAAACCATTGGATATCTAAATTAGCTGAACTATCTTTTTTGACATGCATGTTGATCCACTAATCAACTGGGAAATGACTTCAGCTTTTTGAAAGATACCTTGTTTCTAATAAGCTTCCTCATCCTTTTTTACTTCTGCTCTCTTGAAGCCTGTCTTAATAGTTGGCTCCCTTTCTTCCTCTTTTCTGGAATAAGGCAACTGAAGTTAAAATCACTTCACAGTGATTACTGCGAGGACTTAGATCCCTGTAGCCCTATCTCTCCGTTGCTTCCCGATTCCACCTGAACACAATGGCTGTTTAAGTCCTCCATTTCCATTAATTCCAAGGCTGCAGTTCCCTGCTGTCACTGTTAGTGCATTCGAAAGAGGCAAATTTGTAATCTAGACAGATGAAATCCATTCTATGCGATTCTTGTAAATATAGCACTACTAAGGATCATTAAGAAACCACAGAGTGTAAATTATTGTAAGATAAATTATCAAAGGATGAGGGAGGAGTGGGCTAGTTTTTCATGTGCTTTGAGGAAGAAACGCATCTCTGGAATGACACAGCTGATTCTTTTAAAGGAGCAGATGGCAAACAGCATGGGACTACTAAATGTCCTGTGTCATTCGCACTGTCTTTCATTTCTGCATAATTCCAATTCCAATAATTGGATCTCCACAGAGGAATTGCTTTGAATATGTGCAAAATAAGGTAGTTCATCTCGATAGCAACCTAGGCATCTGTCTTTCCTCAAACAATGCCGTAGCGATACCTCACTTGACTGAAGTGCTTTAGGATCCATGTTGGATTTTGTAGAGATTGTTGGAGAGGAACCTGTCTCCAAAACTGAGGCTGACAGGAGATTAAACAACAGCTAAATTTAATTTAAGGAAATTGTGGACCAAAGATAAACATGAAGGCCAGATCATCAGTGGATGTAAATTAGCCCAGCTCTCTGAACTTCCAGTTCAGACATTACCAACTTACACTAGTTGAAATCCTGATTTGCAGCAAAGTAAAAAATAGATTATATTTTGTATGTAAAAGATACTTTCAACTTACATATTCAAATTTACTTTCTGGCATTTGATATTAGATGAGTTGTTTTGGTACTATAAACCCTGACCCTATTCATTTACATCTCCTGGATAAGTACATAATTTTGCTTTCATACTATGTTTGGTATTTTTGTAACTGTATGTCCTTAAATTGGACTTTGAAGCCTACATTTAGATACTAAAATAAATGACCTGTTGAGAGTGTTGAGAACCAGTATTTCTCCTCTGACTTTGTAAGAGCTCTTAGGTACTTAGTGTTTCTGAAATGAGGTCACTTATTTAGATGCCAAAATCTGGAATTAGAAGCCTCACTTCGGCCTGCGATGTGGGCAAATATTGGTCCAGTCTATGTTGATGTGTTGGATCAGAAACAATTCAGTCAATGGGCAGCTTCTGGCATTTTTTTATTCTCCGAGTCCTTCAAGGTTAATTATCCTTGATGTACATGTGAGATAATAGCTTTATTTCATTATCATTGTGCTGATGCATAGAGGCAAGTAGAATTATCTTTAGAGTGGGCAAATGTCTGTGATGCTGAAAGACCGTATAAAGTTGCTATGCAAACATGATTTGACTGAAATTAAGAGTTCTTCAAAAGATTTTTCTGGTCACATTTAATATATTCTGTAAAACTTCTAACTGTTATTAAAAGTATTGGTAATTGTATTGGCTTACTTTGAAGTGAAATAGAAAAAAAAAAGTGAGTTTCACTCTTTTTTTTTTTTTTTTTTCCCCCAGGTTGGCATCAAGTACCAGTTTTTCTAATCAAGCAGAAAGGTACGGTAACAAAGAATACCTTGGCTACTATCAAACAACTGATCTAAGTTGTCATCCTTCCCATCTCCAAAATCAAGCACTTACAAATTTATATATCAGAGAAAACCCTGTCCTTTTTCATGCAGTTCAGATATATCTTCTTAAGATGAACAGGAACTCAAAACCATATGTAATTCAAGGTTGTCTTCTGGCTTCTATAATTTCAGTGTAGGTCTTTCTAGCTTATTCAGTGTTAAGTATTTGTCTTGATTTGCCACCTCCATGTGTTTTCTGAAGCGAAACATCCTTGAATATTGAAGAGTCACCCTGGAGAGTTAAGATGTGCAATTTATGAGTAAATGGATAATACTTTAGCTTTTTAAATTAAATTTCATTTCATTTTATGTCTTGACGAAAGATCTGAGAGAGTATTAATATTCTAATGTATATGTTTTAAAGTAAAGCCAAGAACCTCATTTGGTGTCACTGCAACCAACAGGGTGAGACGGGAATTAGAGTTCAAACCCTGACAACTCACAGGGAAAAAGACATGGAGAATCAGAAAAAAATGTAATTATTTATTTAGACGTAAGCAGTTCAGGTATATATACTTCTTTTCAACTTTCAATAATTGAGTTAAGGTCATAAAATCACTATGGTAAGTGGTTTTTTTTTTGGATGAGAACAGTTCTATTCATGACTATGTCATAAACATTTTTATATATTTTAATATTATGGAAATTTTTGTAATTAAAAAAAAAGAAGAGTAAATATATATATATATTTATATTTTTCTCCATGCATTTGGCTTTGAGAGTGTTTAACCTGCAATATAATTTTTCTCTCTTCCTTTTCCTTTCCGTTCTTCTAGCATGATGATTCCTGGAAATGCTGCAGGTGTGGCCAAGCAGTTCCTCCGCTGTGTGTTCCATCAGTTGGCCCCCAATGGCATATTCCCCCAGCTCTTCCAGAGCAATATTAAAGGTAACGTTCAGTACCTGTGTGCAATTCCTGAGGCTTTCAGTCATACCTGTATGGAAACCCAGGACAACGGTGTCATTCCAATTTCAGATGGAAGTTTTTTACGGACCCTGGCCACATCTCTCATGGACTTCAGTGAGCTGAGTTCCATTGCTGCTCTGAGCCAGCTACTAGAGGTATGTTCGCAATCAGCTATATTAATGTTGGTAGTTTTGTTGGCGCTACCAGCTGTATTGATTCGGTTCTCATGCAGTAAGAGCTCGAACTTGCACCATCAAAAGCGATATGAATCCTTGGTATGTTGCCTCTAGAAGTAGGATGAGGTATCCTTGCCATTTTCCTTGTGCATTTTGCTCTGGCTGACTGCTTTTGTTCTCAGACCAGCTCTAGGGCACTTACACACAGTGGTAGTGTAGGTCACCCTTTTCTCTGCCACTGTTCATGGCTTTCAGAAATATTTCTGCTCATGCTTCTCAGTTCCCTCTCTCTCTTGTATCTGATGGCTGTTTGTCAAAACAGTCTGAAGGCCTAGTTAGTGTCTGCCTTTCCCTGACTGCCTTCAGGGTACGAGGTTTGTTTCTACTGTAACCTTTACCTTTCCATTAGTACTAGCCACCTGCACATAGCCTTCTGTCCTTCAAAAAATGTGGAGGTTGCTTCGTACAAACAAGGATTTTGAAGCATTTTAGAATTGATTATGCCTTTCCAGGCTTGTCCCTTGTATACAAGTCAAAACAGCTCACATTATCTACAGGACATTAGTGAATGTAGCTTGTTTAAAACCAAACTAGGGAAAATATGGAAAAATCTTCTGGTGACTGTTTTACACGTCCTGTTTTCCTGTTGACTCTCATCCCATTCTAATTAGGATGTGCTTAGTCCCTTGCTTTTAACATTTGAGCTCGAAGTTTAGCATTTTAAGCTTCCGGCATGGGGATCTTTCAGCCAGTACTTTAGGAATTGAACTAGACTTAACTGTCACATATATAGTTCAAATTCCCTGCACATTAGTGGTTTAGAGGAGGTAAGTAGTATTTGCTCTGAGCTAATTAACCACATCATTTTTAGATATTGTTTAGGTGGCTATGTCTACGTGTTTACATTTGTTGATAGATTTTCTTTTTCAGGGTTTAAATAACAAAAAGAACTTACCAGCAGGGGGTGCAATGCTCCGATGTTTGGAAAATATTGCTACGTTTATGGAAGCCCTGCCAATGGATTCACCTAGCAACCTCTGGACCACAATTAGTAATCAGTTTCAGACTTTCCTTACCAAACTCCCTTGTGTTTTGCCACTTAAGGTATGATATATGGAGTTTTATTTATAAATCATTTTATTTTATGTTCATTAAGGTAATTTATATAGTTATGTTCGTAAAGGTAATTTGTATGTGATAACAACATTTGAACTGGGAATGATGGTGACATTGGTCAGGGCATACGCAAGCAGTGTGAAAGTTGCAGATAGGAAATCAGGGCTGGAGTGCAGGTTGCTATGAACATCTTACAGTGATTCAACTAATGTTTGCAGAGGATCAGGTTTACTGGATGTCTGATCCATCCCTTTAATAATGTTTTTCAAGGTAGCCATAACAACTCTGACCAGAGAGAACTTTTTCCCTACTTGTTTTTTTTTGCTTCCACCATTTTCCACATTTGAGAGAATCCACATTTTGACAATAAAAATCCATTTTATTTAAATCATTTAAGCAAAATAAAACCCATGAGAAGAACATTAATTTGCTGAAAGTACACAAAAGTCAAACAGCTAGAGAGATTAAAACAGTCTCAGATTAATGAAAATCGAGCCTAGCCTGTTTGTCTAAGCAGGTCGTAGTTCTGGCTGTAATCAGGACGTGTAGAAGCTGAGTCCGACTGAGTTCTGATTACTCACAGAACACGCAGAGAGGTTTTATCTGCTGGTGCAAACATTTCCATATCTCTTTTCAGTAAACACACTAAATTTTTTTCTGAGACTTTCCAGTAAACACTGTATTCTGATGCCCTTATTCTGACTTAATTTCTCACAGCATGAGTGAACCCAGTTGTATCTTCTTCTGTGCAAAGCATTGTTGCTCAGTATGAGCTGAAGGATCCAAATCTAATTTTATGTGATTTATAACTTTGTTTTAGATTGGGTGTCATGAGCAAACCATATAAATCATTTCAGATTCTTTGGCCTTGTCTATTAAAGCAGTGAGATCTTGAACACTCTAGCTGTTAGTGACTTGAGACACTACCCTGCAGCACTTATCTAAGCCAAGCAGGGAATAACTATTCCCTATGGTTACTAGCTACCCCAAATTTATTGATCTTGAATAATTTCAATTAAAAAATAAACTGTTGAATTGGATCATAGTGATTCCAACTGCATACCTGCCATTTGTGGAACATTCAGATGGAGTGATTGCTTTGATTCCCCTTCTATTTATAGCAGGTGTGATTAATGATTTGCTTGCTTCTGGACCAAGCAGGGGTGGCTTTTCCATCTTCTGTTCCTTTCTCTAGGATCATAGATGACACTTTTGCTGTTTTAGAAGTTTGGAGCAGGGAAGAGGCAAGGCTGGATGGATCTTGAAAGGTCCTATTCTATGCTGCAAATTGTATGATTTACACAGAAGACATATTGGAGAATGAAGCTTTAATATCTCACCTGAAAAATCAATTACACTGTAAGAAATATCTTTAGAGTGGCTTCTGGAGCAGCTATTCCCAGGGCACATTCTGATGTCAGGGAGTCTGAGTTGCAGCCCTGCCATGGAATGGGGTAAAATGTCACAATGTCATAGCCTAGGACAAGGACAAAAGTGTAACAGGAGGTATACGGTGTGTGCCTCATGTTAACCCGCATATATACATACATATATGTGTCTGTATACACACACACACGTATATTAGATACACTTTTATATAAATAAATTTATATTTTAATGAGCCATTTTATTACAGTGTGGGTGTACTTCTAGAAGATTTCCATCATACAAAGGTAAAGGTACTCCTGAACCAGCTTTTTAGTGAAATATTCTCATCTCAAGGCTGATACTGTCTTGTCTTAATAATGAGAGGGATATAAATGTGCCTTCAGGAACAAATCAATTCAAGAAAAGTAAATAAAGATCAATCATAAAGGAGCAATTTTCAGACTGCTTATTCATAGCTTATTTATAACTTATAGCTTATTCATACCTGTCACCACTGAAAACAAGAGATGTACGCAAAAATGTACTAATTCTTTTGTTTTTTTCCTGCCTTTAAATATGTTCACAGTGTTCTTTAGATTCTAGCTTAAGAATCATGATTTGCTTGTTGAAGATACCAACCACTAGTGCCACCAGGGTAAGTTCGAAAGAAGACAGAGCTCTCTTGCCTCAGATTTAGCCAGGTTGTACTATTTTACAAATGTATTCCTAGCTCCTAACTAAGAAAGGATTATGTGTGCAGCCCAATACTCTATGGTGAATGGTAAGAGGTTTGAATCTAGGTTATAGTAGAATGGGAGTGGGATTACTTTCCTGTGTGGATGTGAGTATACATCTTGTTAAAGATTTGATACTGTCTTTCAAAAAAGCCTGTAATAGTCAACATCCTGTAAGTCTTCTTGCTAGTACTATTCTGTTACTGCCAGTGTGTAATTTTCCTGCATAATATTGCAGATTCTCTGATATCTCATAAGCACTGTGTCAAATATAAAACTATTTGCTGATATTTTGCTGGTAATTTGTCTTATAAGCATGACTAGAAATGCTGGAACATTTGACTGAAACAGTATAAATCATGGACAAATAGTATTGAGCTAAAAATAATGATGCTGTTGCATTCAGACATTTCAGAGCTGGAATCTTATTGTTTTAATGAACCATCAGTTATTGATTTTCCTAAATCATCTCATTGCAGAGTCTTCTGGAGCCATTTTCAAAATTGCTAAGCTTTGTAATTCAAAATGCTATCTTTACTCTGGCCTATCTGGTAGAACTGTGTGGTTTGTGCTACCGAGCCTTCACTAAGGTAACAATAAGATTGTACCTGCATTAGAAACAACTGAAAATAAAGCAGAAAAAATTCTTCTCCCAAGTAGAAGTCTGTAACTGAAGGTGAAATCAGTGTCAAGTAGTTTTAATGTAGTTTAATCAAGTAGTTATGTTGATTCAGTGCCTACTAGTAACGCTGACTCTCACATCTCCAGGATAGACACAGATAAAGGGAATCTGATGAAAAAGTTGCTCAAAAAAGTATTATAATTTCCAGACTTTGAAAATTTTTGTTTTCAGAAGTCATCTGGTATTCGTGCATGACTTAAAATGCCTTTTTAGTTATAAGGATATTGTCATATCTGTCCTAGTGCAGTTTCAGTTATTTCAAAAACATTTTTTTAAAAACATATTTTAAAACAATGTTTTAATACTTGCTTCTCTTTCAATGTTCTATTCACTACTTAATTGCATATAGGAAGCTTGGATTACACCATTTAGTAAAAACGGTTTCTTGATTTAGTTTACTGCAACCTGGTGACCCAGATGTTTTCCTGCAATTTATATCCAGAAAATGTTTAATGTAGTGGAACTCCCCACTACATTATTGCTGTTATTCCTGAAAGTTTACTATGGATTGGATTTAAAAAATACTAAAATAATGACTGCCTTGCCTTTAGGAAAACAGACCAGTTGTGATATCTAGGTTTCTCTACATGGGAATCACTGTAGCTGAATTGAGGGCTGTTTGTGACATAGTATTATGTACAAGTGAATTCCAGAAGGAATATAACTTGTGAATGTTGAAACTATTCAAATTGAATTGTCTTCTAATGTGCCTTCTGGAACCAAACACAGTGGCACAACTTTCAGGTATGCTATGGGGTTAAGTTTGTCTTTCAAAGAGTGAGTGACTCCAGTATGTGTTTTGCAGAGTTCAGAATTGTACAACCAGTCTGAAACTTTTTTTCCCCCCACACTCCTGTTTATTAATCTCCAGCATTTCCCTAATAGTCTCTGGCAGAACTATCTCAATTTCTTTTGTCTTTGATCTGAAGAGTCACGTCAATCTGATATTTCCTTATCTGAGTTTCTGTTCTAGGTCAACAATTTGATTTTTCATTGCCATAGGATCTCTCATTTGAGAGTAGTATCACTTCTGTGAACTCTAATCTTTGTATCTTGAATTTTCCAATCAGTCTCTTGAAGTCTTAAATGGACACTTCTCGGCTTTCTCATCTCTTGCAGCTGCTGAAGCTTGAACCTGAACTTAGCCTTTTACTGTCATTCTGTTGGCCCTGTGCCACTGAATTGAAAATGATATAATTTTGCTATTGAAATTTTCTGAGGAACTGAAACAGCCTACCCCTTAGCAGTGATGATTACTGTGGTAGCAACACAGACTGTTGTCTCTCTGTGCGCTGGCTTATTTAGAGGGTAGCATACTATTCTATTAGAGGACCAAATTTACGATGCTTACTACTATGTTGGGACCCTGTTGCAAAATAACTTCAGTAATTTTGCATTCTGTGCCTAGACCTCTGGCAAATTAATTTGAAGGTCACAAGGCAGGTGTTTTTTTATAGGGATATGCAGACATATGCAGAGGTTTAGTTATTTTGGCTGAACAAAGATTAAGGGATTGCATTCCCGCTTCTTTGGGACCAGACTGGCACATGTGAATCCTCTGGGCTTTTTTCTCATGTAACTGATAGCCCTTTTACATTTTTCTGTCAGAAAAACAAATTATTAAAGTATATAAAAACAAGCACCAGCTGAATGATAGCAATATGAAGTCTTTGCTAGGAAGATGCACTCCTGGG